TATCATCTCAACTGTAGCGGCCGCAATATGAAAAATATTAAAAAATATATTAAAATCTATTATTTTTTTTAATAACGTAATGTAAATAAAAACTATTCTTCATTTCTGACCGTCGACTATTATGTGTATGTCCTTCTACAACCAGATTTTACCAAGATTTATTATTATTATTATTATTATTATTTTACCAAGTATTTCATCCCTCACCCCCTATATGTTAGATTATGTACATTGTAATGGCCGCAAAAAAAAAAAAAAAAAAAAAAAAAAAAAAAAAAAAACCTTGTTAATGAAAGTTCATTCCTGATCGTAGATTATGTGAATGGACTATTGTCAATATTCAATGCATTCATCCCAAAAGTAGAAAATCGATGAGGTAAAAACTTCTGGAATGAGCTGCCGGGATCAACCGCCGGGATCGCTTTCGCCAAAGCGAAGAGAGCAGCTCGGATTCGTTGCTGGTGCCGCTACGTTCTCTCTCTCTCTCTCTCTCTCTCTCTCTCTCTCTCTCTCTCTCTGTTTTATTCTCTTCAAAGCAAACAAGAAAAAAGAAAAAAAACTTCGCTGCGGTGCGAGTTAATACAGTACTGTGTATGCTGGGCTGGGAGGAGAGGGTATGAGGGGGTGAGGGGGGTGAGGGGGAGGGTAGAGAGGGGTGAGGGGGAGGGTAGAGAGGGGTGAGGGGGAGGGGGAGGAGGAAGTAAGATCGGACCATTGATAATGCCGAGAGATACACCGTCTTTACCTGAATAGAATGCCTAGTCATTATCGCTGTACCGAGACTGCCGGTCTGACCAGGTTCAGCTATATTGATCGGCGGACGTTATGTTCTAGGGAAGACGGTAGGGCGAGATACACCGTCTTTACCTGAATAGAATGCCTAGTCATTATCGTTGTACCGAGACTGCCGGTCGAACCAGGTTCAGCTATATTGATCGGCGGACGTTCTGTTCTAGGGAAGACGGTAGGGTTTTTTGCGTAAGAGACAGAAGAGCGAGACGGCAACGGCATGCAAAAAAAAAAAAAAAAAAGGAGGTTCGAGAGCAAAGATTTGTGGTTGTTGTTGTTCGTCGATTTATTTATTTAATTTATTCCCCCCCCTTCCCCCTTACCCCCACCCCTTCATAACACCCCTTCATAACAGGTCTCATATATTTCAGCAATCAAATTCGAGGCCGGGGACGTCACATTCATCCCCCGGAAGAATCATACTGAGACCATTACTCAGCTTCGCTTACGAGACTAGAAACGTTTTTTTTTTTCGAGTCCTCTTCTAGGCTACCAGCCGGGCCGCCCGGGTCCCGGGTGGCCAGCCCGTGCAAGGACCAGCGTAGAGGGATTCGTGTACCCCCCCCCCCTCCTTCCCCCCTCCCCACCCACCCCCCCCCACCCCCCGCAACATGGTCCCTTATGAGACCCCCCTTTCAAACCAGATTTCTAAAAAAATAAAATTAAAAAAAATAAAATTGTAATGTTGTACCCGGACCCGTCGATGCGGATTGTGTGTGCTTGCTAAAAAGGGCGCTGAGGTAGGATAGTGGGATAGGGGGTGCGCTAGCCTCTAGGAGTATTGACGTGAGGATGGGGGATGGGAGGGGGTCTCATATTCCAGGACACCCACGGCCCACATCTCCAGGTGATCGCTGTGTACTCAGTGACTGGCCTCTACAACACCATCGACTTTTTTGTAAAAAAAAAAAAAAAAAAAGAGGCGCTGAAGAGGGGCAGTTTTATTATTATTATTATTATTATTATTATTATTACTATTATTTCTCGTATTATTATCATTATTATTTTTTTTGACTAAAGAGAGGCAGTTTAGAGCTCCAATCTATTTGAAGCGAAAAATGGAGACATGAAGACGCCAAAAAAAAAGTGAAAACGAAAACGAAAACGAAAAAAAAAAAAAAAAACTGAAGGAAAAACAACAGCAACAAGAAAATAGGTCCGAATGTCATTGAAAGAAATAAGCACCCCACTCACATGTCGCTGTTATGTAACGTGAGCGTGAAGTTATCACCAGATCGAATCCTGCTGCTGGCGCAATCTTTTTTTTTTTTTTTTTTTGTGCCTTGCTTGAATGATGATGGTACAACAACAGCGTCATTGACCTCCCTTGTTTTTTTCTTAAATTTTATTTTACACCGTTTGGACAAAAAAAAATATTTTAGGTCTTGAAAGAGATTGAATAAAGCCGAGAAAAAGATGCAAGGTGTGAAAAACGTTTGGACAAAACGCCTCTGAAGGCCTTAAAAAAAGAACCGAAAAAAGGCCTAGGTCAAGGCCTTGGCCGATGGTCGTCAAATTTGCTTTTTTTCTTCTTTTTTTTTTTTTTTTTTTTTTTTTTTTTTTTTT